ATATTTCTATTTCTCTCATCTGCATATTGTTCCATCTTTATTTTTATCATGGACTCTCACCCATATATATCTTACATACCTACTCGGTAGCGCTTCGGCTCCGCATGACTGCACTTAGGCGCGCTATATAAGCGCCAGCAGTACATACTATTACTTACTTTTCAACTAACTTTCCATTTTTACAACTTACTTTTCCTGCAACTGACTACTTACTACTCACTTACTACTTAGCAGAGTATAGTAGAAATCTATTTGTCTACACTTTGCATCTCTCTTCTCCTACCTTGCATCATATTATCACTCAAGCTTAGTCTTTATCAATTTCCGCATATGCATGTGCGCTTTCCCGCGCTTCGCGCTAATACGCGCGCGTGTTCCCGCGCCTTGCGCGCACCTGCGCTTTCTCATGCTTCGCTTCAGCGCGTACCTGTAGATCTTTGCTGCACTCACTTCCCCTCGGGTCGAACGCACTTGTCGTCTCAACAATAGCAGACTAGGCAACACTTGACCTACAACATTTTTAGATACAGTTAGGAGCATCATTGTTCCTCTCTGTATTGTAGTTTCTACAACGAATATTGTTATATCCAGATCTGATATCCATTTTAGTGAAGAATTTAGCACCATGTAATTGTTCGACCAAAGATGAAGGAAGTGGAAGGGGATACACATTCTTTATTGTTTGGTCGTTAAGGAAGCGATAGTCCTGACATGGGCGAAGTTCTCCGCTCTTTTTTCCTACAAAGAAAAATCTGCTTGCCTGTGGGGATTTTGATTTGACGATAAATCCTTTGGCTAAGTTATCAGCAATAAATTTTTTAACCGTGAGTCGCTCGTTGTGGGAAAGAGGATAAATTTTGGATGTTTTTGGAATGAAACTAGGCTTCGTTTCTATCCGATGATCGATACTGGGTCTTTCCGGGGGAAGTTGATTCAGACCGTCTTTTGCAAATATATCTGAGAAGTCGTGGAGGTAAGAAGGGACTAGTTCTTCGAAGGTTTTCTTTTGTTTGACTTTTTCTTTGGATGCGAATTCTTGAGCTTTATTACTATACTTTGGCGTCTTGTTTGGAATTTCTTCTATTCTTTTGAGGTATTCTCCGTCATCCGTAAGAGCTTCGGAGGATACCGGCGAAGTTGTCCATACGTCTTCTTTGGTATTGAATTCTTTAAAGAACATTTTCTTCGGCCTGGATGTTTCTTTTATGTACTTTTCTACTTCAGTAGATCTTTCCGTTGCAGGGAGGGAAAGAGTCTGACTGGCCCAGTCAATGGATGGGTTCATCGCTCTGAGCCAGGGGATTTCTAAGAGGATTTGATCTTTAGTTCCTAACTTTGTGATGTTGAACTTTCCGATCATCATTTGTTCATTGATCTTGATGATGAGCATACAGTATCGCTCTACTGGTCCGCTACTAAAGTAGCTTCCATCTGCGGTCCTGATAAAGAACAGTTTTTCCAGTGTCTTGGTACAGATCTTGTGTTTCTTTATGAAGTCTTTGGATATATAGGTTCCGGCTGCTCCGGAATTGATTACTGCATCGGTTTCGACATTTTCTGGACGTGTTCGTGAGACGAGGGTGATTGGGACACAAAGTTCTTTTCTTTCACCTATTGCTTGTATTACACGAATTGGTTCTTCTGGAGATACTACCATCGACATAGACCTCCTCTTCAAAAATCCTTGTTGACTTGTCTTGCTTCTTCTTCCTTTTCTTCCACTTGTCGAATGGGTGGGGGAAGTCCGTTCTTTTTCTGAGGACATTCCCTAGCGCGATACCCAATTTGATGGCATTTGAAACATTTTCCGATTTGCATGTGCTCCTGTTTTTCGGCTTCAGTAAGCCTACCAATTCTGTCAATTACCATAGTGTCTCTGTCTCTAGCTGGGACAAATCGTTGATCCCCAAATCTTCTTTTCTTTTGTTGGGGAGAAGAACTCGCTCTGATAGATTGGAGCCACATATAGCAGTTATCCATATCTATGACTGCGGTGATATAGTCGTCTAGGTTCTTCGGAACTCCCCCAGCATTGAATATCTTGGTGAGGAGCCCAGTGTTCAGCCCTTTCTGGAAATGTAATATTTTCATGTGTTCTTCTTTGATCTTTGCTTGTGCGAGGAGTCTTTGGAAGTCTGCGATATAGCTTGGCAGTTCTCCATTGCCTTGTTTGAGGTGAATGATTCTTGCTAAGGCAGTTCCGGAAGGGTCAATAGCTCCAAAAGCTTTGTCAAATACTTCCATGAATTCTTTCATCATTCCATATCCTTTCTTTTGTCCAGAGGAGTCGACGTGTTGGGCGTCTGTCAGGAATTCTTCTTTCCATAGCAGAGCATTTCCTTTATTCATAAACGAGGTGATAAAGATGACCCGTTGCTTGTCGGTTTTGTATAATTCCTCATTAATGTCCATGTATGCATTGCAGGATAGGATAAAAGATTTAGACTTCTCTCGATCTCCATCAAAGATGGGCAGATGATTAATCTTATATTCGAATAGTTTCGATAAAGATGACATGTTCAGTGGCAGTACGGGAGTACTGAGATTAAGGGCTTGGAAGGTAGGAGTGAGTGAAGTCAGTTTGTCGTTTCTTCTTTGCCTGTGCTAGCTATCTTGCTCAGCCAGGGCTTGTCTGTTCTTCTGTTTCTTTTTCTTCGAGACACGTGTGGATACAGGTGTCCTTTTGAAAGACTTGAATATTTTGTTACGAACTAGGGTAGTTCTAACAACAGCGACTCGACAGAGTTTCTAGCTGTTGAGTTTCGTGAAGTCCTTCAGAAAAGAAGGGGTTCTGTAAAGACTTAGTCAAAGGAGTGCTTCGACTAAGAATACTAGTTCAGATAACTTAAGATTGGAGGTCTTAGGCGAAGGAAGTTCTGGTAAAACCTAGTAAGATTCAAGTGAAGTTCTACAAGGCTAATACTTGTGCTTAAATAAGTCAATATGTGCACACGGACCAAGGTAGTCGTGAGATATAAGTACATAGTCCAAGAAAGGTAAATGATCATAAATGGAAAGCGTACTATCAGACAAAGAGAACAGAGAAGCGAAAGAAAAGCATGATTGTAACAATCAATATCTTTTAGTAATGTATGGTTGCTCATGTTTGAGTTCATCAGTCGTTGATCCTAGTATCTGAATGTTGTGGGTTCGGAGTCGTTGGGGGGACAAATGAATAAAGATGTAGACAAGCATATAATCCATCTGGTATGTCTACCATGCAACTTCAAAGGTCAAACTGATATTATCTCATGTAGATGCATCAAAAGTGAGCTGAAAATGGCTCAGCATGTGTAGGGCCTTCAGCTAATGAAGTAGTACTTCGAGAACAACCACGCACACTAGGCTCGTGCCTCTACAGACTACCTAACATGAATGTCCTGCCACATCACAACAGCATTGCTCAAATGGTCGAGCAAGAGTTTGAGGCCTATGCTATGGCTAATCTTAGCCCCAAGACAACAGACATACTTGCACTCTGGGAGGTGAGTGTCCTGCATCTCCATATGTTATACTTTTTATCATTGACCACGAGGTGTTGACCAGGTTGCAGAGACATCATTGCCGACAATTTTCAGCATTGCAATGGACCATCTCCCAATACAGGCCTCCGCTGTTCCATGTGAGTGAGTTTTTCCATCTAGTAGCAAAACTGACACGAAGAAACATAATCACACAAGCCTGGTCCTGATGGAGGCTCTGCAGGTGGTAAAGTTCCTTCTGAAAAAAGAGCGACTCAACTTTACCAAAGGTTTGGTGGCATTGCAGAAGGATATGGAGTACAAGACATTGCGCAAACGACAGGAATCCAACATTGTTTTGACATTAACTAACAGTGGCATTACAGGTGATATATGTGACAATCTTCTCAGAGCTATCGCAGAGGATGAGTGTGGCGACATCAATGATTTTCCTACTACCTATGAGCTATGATGTTTGCTTTCCCTACTTATCTCTTGTTTTCCCTATCTTTACATGTTCTAGCTGCTGGCTGTTTGCAATAGTGAACTTGTTCATTATTTGCCTTTCCTTGACAGCCTGCACTTCATCTCGACAGGCCAAGTGCTCTCTTGATCTTTACAAGTACTGGCTAATCACCTCTACTCACACTTTGCAGTGCACCAACACTCATCAAACATTGCAGATGTCCATCCAAACAGTTTGGACTTCTCAATTTGGCAATCTTTCGCCACTTTGCCTGTCCGCCTCTCGTAGTCTTCAGACTCGTGTTTCTCACCATGAGACATAGTTCTGAGTGCGTGACGAGTTTGGGGCCGGAAATCAAATGTTGAGGTGTGAGTAATAATCTAGTATCTGGCCAAACTGACAGCCGAGGATGTTCTCCCAAGCAACGGCCATCTTGATGAAGGTACAACAATTCAGATGGTGAGTCTGAACAATGTTGGGTCTTGCAGAACCTAGCTGCTATTCAACCCTAAAGGGTTTCTGGACTAGGCTCAAGGCTCAGAGGAGAGGAAATATCATGAAAACTTGCTGAGTACTCTGACTCATACTGGTAACTGGTGAAAAGATAACTTTCTTTATGTAAGCTACAAAAGTGCCAACATAAGGTAAGGTAAAAACAGTCTCTACCAGCCCAGCCAGAAATGAATCCCTACATCGAATTGTTAAAAACTAATGGAAGCAGAAGTTCGGGCAGAAGGCCAGGTGCCTTTCAGAATGTATTGGGTATACATACATCAAGGTGGCAGGTTTAATGTACTGGGCACTGACTCTTATCTTGATGCTTATGATCCACATGATCAATAAATTCTACTTTTAGTAAGTTATTCTTGGCCCTGTGAAAGGGCGCTCAATTTAGTTGCCGGCGGGCATCTTAGACTTGAGATTTTCTTATGCAACTACACTCATGAGCTGGTCACACTACTCGGATGCATGGCATGTTCACCTCACCACAAGTTGTCTCACAGATAGTTTGTATATCCAAATTGCTCAGCTGAGCTATGGATTCAACTACAAGGTGTGTTATTAATCTTCTTATGTTCTCATGCATTCTCAATGTCTCCCCACCACCTCCAGCTGCTTTGACACCTATCTCTACATATGGCCATCATTATTCCTCGCTGCCACAGCCTGCTTTCCCTCCATCCAACTCTTCCTACATCACACCACCCATCTATCCCCCTCCATCATTCTTTGCACCCACCCGCCTCTCCCTCTCTCAGACTCCAGATGAAGGGCATGTTCCAACTGCACAAAACCAGCTAGACGGAGCATGAGATGTGTCTGTATCTGAAGTGGGAGCTCAATATGGATCCGGTGACGTTTAGGGAGCTCGAGGACATGGTCAAGAAGTATTTGGTACATCAACAACTTTACCCTTCTCACATTCTTCCCTCATCATCCCAGACAACTCCTCCTCCTACCACAAATCTCTTCCTGCCTCCTCCAGCCACTTTGGCACCTACACCTACATATGGTCATTGTTATCCTTCACTGCCAAAGCCTGATTCCCCCCCGCCCAACTCTTCCTACATCACACCACCCACATTGTCGTCATCAGCGGCATCTCCTCCAACACCCCCAGGTATGGAGGACTGCGCAGCTTGCATTGTTTCAGCTTCATCTTCACCAGGTATCCCAAAATCCCCCCCACCCAGCTCTTCCTATGGTGTGGATCACTTAGAGACCACTACTTAGGTGCAGTGGCCAAACTGACCTCCAGTGACTGAAAACTTAAACCCTAACCCTAAGCTCACGACTGCACGAGGATCCTCCAACACCACTCCTTTGATCTTAGTGCCCCATGGTTCATGTTACAGTAGAGACACATACACAGATGTTTGTGAATATAACCACCCTTACCAGTCTCAATGCCCACCTCTCACAAGAAGCTTGCTGCCGCCCGTGCAAGAGCAGCACAATGGCAAACTCAGTCTCTGACATCTGAACATAGCAATTCCACTCCCACCACCAAAAAACCATCTCCACTACTCCCAACACATGCTGCGGAGGCACCTGAAAGCTTCAACATTGAATTCTGTCCAATAGAGCTGGATTTCGAATGTCTTTCTGACTGTGTTTATACGGGTGGTGTCAGCTGTTGGTCAGATGATGATATTATTGAGTACCAACCAGACACATTTTCAGAAAGTACTCTGTCAGACTGTGAAAGCCTCTGTGAGCTTGAGGGAGATGATTTGGAGTACAATTTAAGGCAACTCACAGCAAACACCAATTCAAAAGCCCTTGAGTTGACAGCAGATGAGGCTGACACATTGTTCAAGATCATTTCGAAGCCAACAACAAATGTGATTTGGAGGAAGGTGGAACAAAATAGATTGCTGGGATACAATGGACTGTCAGATCATTCTTGGCGTCGGAGGGATAAGCTGGCCCGAGACCAAGCTGAACACCGAAAAAAGATGAAGACTTTGTATGTGTCAATTCAAATAGCTTGCGACTTGAAAATGTGTTCTGATACATACATGAGCAGAGACAATCTACAGGTTGCATGTATGCAGCAGTGGTGTGTACCCAAAGACTCAAACACTATGTCCGATGTTGAACGAAATACACATACACACAGTGCACTGGCAGTCGATTTTTCTGGTTACCTTTCCGACGAGTCCGAGGATCATTTTGACTCAGATACTGACAGTGAACACGAGGATGAATACAGAGTTACAGGAAGTAGTCGAGGTGTAAGCAGCCGCTTGCCTGCTGTTCCACTGCTCAAGCGGCGCAAGCTCGAGATCCCTTTTCGCATGGAGTGGAAAAATGCGAAGGAAAGGCGTGCAGATGAGAGGCATGTGGCATTGGAGGCAATTGAAAAGCTGTTGAAGTCGAAGAAAACAAACTTTGTTAGTGGTCCAGATGGTTTGCAAGCAAAATGAACACATACCATTCAAAGCCATCTCGCTCTCATTGTGAAGAGAGGCCACTCTTCAATTGAAGCATCTGAATGTGCTGCTGAAAGTCATGGGTTCGCAGCTGTCTGGGGCAGCCATCAACTGCGCAGCTGGACCCATAACTGGGTGACCAAACGGGAGCTCCCTCGTTCATTGACTGGTCATCATGCCAAGGTGTATTCATTGCTTGATGACCCAGCAGTAGCTGCTGAGCTTCACACTTATGTTCATTTGAACAAGTGGGCAATCAATCCTGAAAAGCTGGCAGAGTTCTCAAAGAGCAAGTTGACACCCTCAGAAGCAGAAAAATACCTTCACACCATTGTCAACGATGAGATGCCCCGTGGATTGAAGCATTACATGGAACTGGAGTTGTTTCCTCAAATTCACCTCAAAATCGGACGTGGAATTTCACTTGTCACTGCTCGCTGATGGTTGCATCGAGAAGGTTTTCAATACATGTCCCATTGAAAAGGCCTTTACTTTGATGGCCATGACCAGCCTGATGTTGTCTCTTATCATCAAGAGCATTTCTTGCCAATGATGAAGGAATATGAGCGGCGTCTGGTTCGCTATGTTGTCGGAGATGTTGAAACAGAATTCAAGGACCCAAATTGCAATTTTGTGGAATGGCAGCTTGTTCTCTGTGCACATGATGAGATGATGGCACAATCAAATGACGCAACAGATAAATACTGGGTATTTGAAGATCAGTTCAAGTTGTGAAAGAAAGGGGTGGGCCGTGGCCTCCATCGCAGTGATGTAATCTGCTCCACAGTGGGACACCTGGTGGACACAGGTGAATCATTGGAGTACAGCAAGAATCACAAGGGATACTGGAATGGTGAGATGTTTGTTAAGCAGGTGGGGGCTTTTGTATTGCTTCGAGTGTTGATTTGAACTCAAATTCAATATGATTCAGCTCAACAAAAAAATAATCCCAACATTTGAGCGCATTCACGGGCCAGGATATCAAGCATTATTCCTGATTGATAACTCACAGGGGCACTCCGCATATGCTGAAGATGCATTGCTCATTTCTCGCATGAACATCAATCCAGCAGGGAAGCAGGCTCCCATGCGAAATGGATGGTTCATGTGCGATGGCATCCAGGTCGAACAGGACATGGTGTTTCCTCTGGATCACCCACAATTCCCAAATGAACCCAAAGGAGTCAAGACTGTCCTTGTTGAACGAGGCCTCCATCAACCTCAGCTGCATGAAAAATGTGCCTCCAAGTGCAATACTGATGCAACACCTTGTTGCAACAAGCGGATCCTCGAGCTCCAGCTGGATTTTCAGCAGCAAAAGTCCCATATCCAGGAATCCATTGAAAAAGCTGAGCATCTCTGCATTTTTCTGCTGAAGTTCCACTGCGAACTCAATTTCATTGAATATTTCTGGGGGAAGGTCAAGAAATATCTCCGAGACAACTGTGACGGCACTTTTGAGATGTTGAAAAAGAATATGCCCTTGGCAATGCAGTCTGTGCAGCTCAGTACGATCTGACTGTGGGAGCATCACATGCACCACTGGATGGAGGCATATTGGACAGGCCTGGAGATGAAAGATGCTCAATTTCAGGTCAAACAATTTAGTTCTACTAAGTATAAGTCACATAGACATGTTCCTGAGACGGTGGCATGTACTTTCAACTGATGGGGGGTCATAGTTCTACATGTGGCCAAATCAGCATCTTGATGAAAATTTTTCTCGCTCAAATTTGATCCAATCGAAAATCCCTCTTGTAGTTTTACTCTACTCATCAAAAGGATCATTTCTACAAGAGTATATAAACATCCGATTTTTTTTGAAGGGGGTGGGAACTTTGCACAAAAGTAGTGGTGTCTAAGTGATTGGCACCATACATCACACCACCCACATTGTCATCATCAATGGCATCTCCTCCAACACCCCCAGGTATGGAGGACTGTCTGGCTTGCATCATTTTAGCTTCATCTTCACCAGGTATCCCAAAACACGAGCCTGTATGGCTGTACCAGTAAATTTGTTTCTATTATCACCCACTACCAATTTTCTGTAGTACATTCTCATAGGGCTGCTCACCATACACCGTATTACTGAACTGTATGGGGCTGTAATATGGTCTCCATATCTGTACCACAAAGTACGGTGTGTTGCCATATTTGTACGGCCGTATACAGCCATAATACGGGGTAAGTATGGGTTTCTATAAACTACATGCCTTGACGCTACATGCAGTAGGCACATGTCTTATTTCTCAACGAGTCGTTCCGGACCTGATCCTCACAATGCATCTCAACCAATCGAACAACAGGCAAATGTTCATTTCGTATGAATGTCCACCCACCCATCTTCTCTGCAACCTCTTCCAATCCTACTCTCAAATTCCACACCTCTACTTTTCCAATTCCGCCAGAGTTGCATGATGATCAGCATTGCTGGAGGTGGTTTCAAGTCAACGCTCCAGCTTGCATATGTCCCTGGGTCGCTCGTGGACTCTACACCCCAGAATCCGTCTGCCATGGAAAAATTGGAGATGAACATTGACTTTGTAATGTGGAACCCGCAGACACCATCCATTGGCAGGTATATTGCTCATTGGCATGTTTGCCAGCTCCTTCCTGATCTGAATGGCATCACACTCCCAAAGCCCATTCAATTGCTCTTCCATCAACCAATTCCATCACTCATCACCACTTCCTCTGTGCCCACCTTGAGAATAGTCCTTCACCAGTATCTGCTACCTCTTCTGGTGGTGCACCCCATGCCTTGGGAAATTTAGGAAGATTGGCACGTGAGGCATTGACTCAATGCAGGATGCTCATCATATGGTTCACATAACTGTGCCCACACTTCAAGGGTGGAGTGAACATGCAGGCGACACCATAACAAGTTGCTTCGTGCACTGAGTTGGGCTCAGATGGAGAGGAAGAGGAGTAAGCAACAAGACCTGTGCACTTGTATCTGCCCCCAAAGACACGTCAGAAATTGCTCTTTTGTTAAGGAAAATCGATTCGCTTATGTCTCGCAGGCACTCATAAAATCAAGTGTTGTGGGGTCATCCCATGGCACCAGTACCCTTCTCTTCCATTAGCTCACATTCACTAGCAAAGTAGAGCGCTCACCAAGTGACAATGTTACAGGATCTTAAACGCATGGAGCACGAACAGTCTGACGCCAGCCGAGACTCGTTCCGTATGTCGTACCGTACTGTATTACGGCCGTAAAGTACCCCGTACTGTACTGTCAGCATTTTTTTTCAACTGTAATATATGGTTATGTTGGAACTTTGTATGGTTGACGGACGTACACTATACGGCCATATACCGTATACAGTACAGTGAACAGCCCTACATTCTCGTCATGTGTAGTACATCCATTCTCATCCTATCTCACCACTAAAGAAACCACCACATATCAAGAGCATAGACTTGTGTCATTTCAATACAATTATATATATATATATTATTATTATTAAAGCTGGCTTTAAGACCTTAAATGCGGCTCCATAGACTAGACCAAACTACTAATTACATAAGCTATAACTACATACACGGTTTGGCTACCAGCTCCGCTCGCGGCTAAAGCCGGCCACAAGCCAGAGCCGCGGCAACACTACTAGTATGTAGTCACCTTTTTTCCTGATGGAAGTGGAAGTGACCATAACACAAGGAACAAGATTGCGATGCCATCATGTGGCAGATCAGTGACACTTTGTTTTCCAACACCCAGTCAAAATACAAATACCTGACACCTGTCACATGTGGATCGCCAAGGACAATGTGCCATTTCAAATCCGATCGACAAAGAGTACGTAGAACCCGGCCACATGAAACTCCTCGCGGAACAGAAACTGGGATTGTGACAACTTGTGTGATACATCATTGCCGGAGTTTGAACTGACGTTGGGAGTACATACGTAATTGCAATGCTTCTAGCTACTGGAGACCCACGAATGCCCAGTCAATAATCCATTACTGATACACTGTCGACTAGACATATAATATCGAACGCGTCACAATCATCAAATCAAGTTAACTGAGACGTCAGCTTATTGATATCCAGGCCTAGCGCTGACCGGTCCCCTATCATATTGTCATTAAACATCACATGGGTTGACATCGGCAGCGAACGTGACAAACCTTCATTCGCCCCGACATTCAATGTTGGTCCTGTCGATTCTGAATCAAAAGACACCACGCTTTGGTTGATGAAAATATTGATCAATGAGCAGCTGGAGCTAGGGGACGGCGCTCTGCTTTGTGAGTTCAAGGCTCTGACTGAGATACCAAAGATCCTGTTGAGTTATATCATAGGTAATGACTTTGAAATCATACCAGTGGCACTACCATCATCATCATCTTCTTCTTCTGCTTCTTCTGCCTGTTCATATTCGTCCGCATTCCTGACTTTCACTATTCGACTAATCGTCGCAAAGAGCTCATGTTCTTCCTGTTTATTGTGTACATCTACATTAAGACCTCGAATGGTTCTGTTTGGAGGAAGATCGGTGACTGATCCACTACACGTGAGATATGGACGGAGAGAAAGAAAGAGCTATTACACCAACCTGAAAGACTGTCTATGTAAAAAGATTTGTGCTCAGCATGGTGCCATGGAATGCGGAGATCATACATACCTTCTACCACATCACGCGGACTCTCCTCACAATCAGAGGCTTGGTCTTGTGCAGACTTCTCGGGGGTTCCAAATACTAGTCAACAGATTGGAGTTAGTAAGGAACTCGCCCTGTTGTTCTGACATACCAAAGGTGTTATTTTTTTCTGGTAGCAACCGTCTGGCCAGGTCATCTGAAGTCCTCTGTAGTATTGCCATTTAACTGCAATTCAAAGATGTCTCTTGTGCGACTAGTCGACTTACTCTGATACTCGTATAAGCCCGATGTGTGACTTTAAGAAAGCGCTCGGCATCCGACTTGCGGACGAAAAGGTTGACAATGAACCTGCGGAAGGATTTTTTCTGCGTTTGAAGTTGGTCTCTGAGTTTTACCGCCCTGTGAAGGCGAGTGAGTAAGGCATTTTTGGCTAGGTGGAAAAGCCTACTGGTCATATTGTAATTTGCCAGCGGTGTAAGCTCGACCGTAGGTGGTTTTATCAGTTTCTGAGAGACGATCGTGTTCCAACAAGTCGGCCAGCTCTCGCAGGGTTGCCAGCGATAATTGTAGATAGAGGTCGCCTTCTTCGAGATCTGTCCGGCCCTTGAGCTGAATGAAGGTCGCGGGCAAGTTTGCGAATTGGCTCGCAGGTCCAAAGTTCGCGGATATTCGAATTGTTGTACTGGCCTTTGGGGGACGCATGGTATGTAACTAAAAATCGACGGAAGCTGTCGTAATCTGTCGCGCTGATTTCCTTGGTTATATACAAAGACCAGTGCAAGCGATTGATGATGATGAGTCCAGAGGGCAAAGATAACAAGCTTGTTTCCTTCACAGGAAAATTGTGCAGATATAGCAACTAGCTGTTGCCATACCATAGTAAGTTATATATGCTTGGCGCTTGAGCCTGAAGTCGATAAGAAATCGTGTAATCCTCGAAATAGAACAATACAGCAGAACATTTTCGTCATTCAGATAAAAGTTCCCTATATATATATATCAGGGTGCTTTGTAGATATGTATATTCAGCTGGGTATATGAATTGTTGAGACGTAACTTGGCATGGGGTCACGGCGAATGACCTACTATAATCAAGCGGTAAGTTGGTTCTGAAGTCCGCGAAGTGCCGGGGTCCGAATTATGGGTCCATGTTTGCTTTGACAACCTTTTACTTTTGGTGCACACAACTCAGGCAGTGTTTTCAAGGATGGCCTCAACCTCCGCTGCTCATTCCCATCTTTCTGAATACGAGATTTGGTGGAGTGGCCACTACAAATTCCTCGAAGAAAAGGGTTACAAGCTACGAAGTCGCTACAGTCCAGATTGGGTCCCCTCTTGGACGAACACCAACAAAGTTGATATAAACTGTGAGGATGGGATTGTGCCACCAGTAGGTGTTTTGATAATAGCGGTGTTTATCGATTACCATGCGTTCTTTAGCACTATCTTGTGCTAGATGCACGGCGTATTCAAGACGGCGCTCGAGTATCACTGAAACGCATAAATATATCCCGTCACCCTTATGAGATAGAGATCGGTCGCTATTTCTCTACCCATCCTCTTAGCATTGACCCAGCCAACCATTGCGTGCCAATTTACGATGTTTTGGAGGTGCCCGCCGACAATGACACTGTGATAATTGTCATGCCGTTACTTCGAGATATTATGAATCCCTCTTTTGACACGATTGGAGAAGTTGTTGATTGCGTTCACCAGCTATTTGAGGTATGCTTCTATGTACTAATTCATGATGTCTTCTTTCTTACGTTCGAAGGGGTTGCGCTTTATGCACAGGCATCATGTCGCTCACCGGTGCGTATCCCAGTTGATTGAGTGACTTGTCTCACGACCTGGACGTAGTGACTGTATGCAACTGAACATACTGATGGACGGCTGCATGTTCATAGATGCATGGCATCCAAGCGAACAATATATGTCAGAGGACCTCAAACGCCCAGCCAGGTATCGCACGCGCATGCAATCACCACCAAAATACTACTACATAGACTTTGGTATCTCCCGCAAATACGAGGCATCCAACACCAACCCATTGGAAGATCCTATATTCGGTGGGGATAAGGAAGTACCTGAATTCAAGGAAGACAATTTTAAACCTCGAAACCCTTTCCCAACTGATGTTTGGTATCTTGGACATGCCATCCAGGAAACGTTTCTCGACGTAAGGTGCAACAGCGGCTTCTCGTTTTTCATGCTCTGATTTGTATAAAACAGCACTACTCAGGCGTAGAATTTCTGGGCGGTCTAGTATCGGACATGATGGATTCGGATCCAGCACAGCGTCCGAACATGGACGAAGTTTTTTCTCGATTTCAGGTTATACGCCAAGGCTTCAGTAACTGGAAATTACGTTCCCGGGTGGCCCCTGATGGCGGGAGATCTCTTTTTGATTTCTTAGCCCACTGGGCACGTCGCATTCAGTACATAGTACGCAGGATTCCTCCAACACATACCTCGCCGTCATAAAGTGGACTTCTTTGTAAACTACAATGCACGAGTTTTTGCCCCTGAGTTTTTGCATCTATAGGGTGTGAGGCCTTGAGGTATCATGCTGACTTCACGCTACACACTTGACTACACAGCGTCAGATGCATTCAAATCAGTGAACTGGCGAGTTCTTGCTGGTGATTATACTGATTGCCATGCTTTTACATGGCCGTATATTGCTTTATATTCTAATGTTACAAAGTCCTTTTCGATATATGGCAGTATCTTCTCACTGGTCTTCTAATCTTAGTCCGTCAAGGTGCTTATCGACGTTCCCTTCAATATTACACTTACAACAACGTCAGGTGACCAGCCGAGAAAAGTCAGGACGGCCACCAGGTTCCTCAATGATTGTCTTACTTACACGAGTCCTGAATGGCTTGACTATGGGAGACCCAACAGCGCTCAGTTCTGACAGTCACATCATTGAGCCTTTATTATCATGATTCGGGAGTACTGACAGCATTTAAACGTAAGACATCCAACTCAAGCCTGCGCCGTGTGCCATAATGGATGCGCGTGCCTATATAGGCGGAGGATCATAATGATCTTTTGTTTGTCTATTTCGTCCCTACAGGCCTTTTACCTTCAAAATGCTACACACATGTCCAAGCTACATCTTCCGCAATTGCATCAAAGCTTCCCTTCGCCCAAATTGAGGGATCCGTCAGAACTGGCCCGAAAACACGATGAAATGCAAAACATTCTACTCAAGCAGCCGTTGGAACCAACATACTTCCTCGATACAGTCTACGTTAGGCTGGAATCCGCTGGATTGCACCAGCACAATGGGGATCCGGATACTATTTTCAATCATCTCAGTCATCTTTTCTTTGATATCCGAAATCACAATTTATCTGCGGACCTTGGTCCTCACCGTCCGTCGACCAACTCACTGATCCAATTTCTGACCTGAATAGCCTTCCTACTCATTTTCAGCAGATCCACCTATCCCTAGCAATCGGGCCAAAGAATAGAGGCTATCTTACCACGTATAGTCCAATTCAGTCTACCTTGAGCTGGATACGCATCAGTACAAAGGGGGCTCGGATACTATTTTCATTCACCCTCGGTCATTTTTTCTTTGATGTTCAAAACCACAGTTTATCCGTGGACCTTGGTCCCCCATGTCCATCGACCAACTCGCTGACCTGTTTTTCAACCTGAACGGCCTTCATTGACTCGCTTTGTTGCAGATCCACCTATTGATTTTCATCACCGGAAATTGGGGCAAACAATAGAGGCTGTCGCTATCTCATCACGTATAGTTTCCTCGTGTGCTGCCCAGAGTGAGCTCGAACCACAGACCTAGTCCGCACTATCGAGCCTAGAATCCGAGAATCGCCATTGTTTTGAGGTTCACAGGTTGGCCTAGGCTTCAGATGCTGTGTTACCTTGCGAAGCAAGGTCAATTGGCATGGACGATTTTCTGATATTGCCCCAACGGTGGTGAGATTTATGACGCAACGTGACAAATTTCAACTGTTCCGACTCCATGATCCAACGATACAGATCCAGAAGAGCCGTAACCGTAAGATATTTGCTGAGAAAAGACAGTGGCAGAATGAAGACAACTGCATTAGAAATCTGTTAGGTCAAAGAACAAATGGTAGAGGTAATTTGGTCGGAGAAAACACTAAATGAGTGTCGATTAAATCGAACACTCATAACCAGTCTGGTGTGCAGAACGGACAATATGATAAATGAAATACACATGGGAAGGAAGGATGCAGCTGACAGAATCTCACATGACCGCCATGTGCATGATGATTTGAAAGTGTACAAGATTATCGATTATCCGCAAGGATGGGCTGAACCTGAAGACCCATGACAGGCAACGCCGCCCCCCGGCTGGTGGTGAAAATGTGATCAACAAATTGCAACTCCACTCGTGGAATTTAGCCGTCACCGAAGCCTCTGGCTGACCCTAGACTTTGGCCCTAGAATCTACGTGGAATAACCCCAGAGCTGGCCATCTCCATGGCTTTCACGAGAACTTGTCTGGGAATGGCCCAGGGCAAGATTGGGATGATAATACCCGGGTGCTTGTCAGTGGACATTCGTTACCTGAGGCGTAGCCCCTGTACTTGGACACGTGTATTATGTTTATCACTGGGTGCAAGTTGATCGATAGCGGAGTAAATTGGAGGCCCGAAGACGACATTCTGTGAGCCAGCTAGGGACAAGTAAGCTTCCGCTAATGGCCTAGAGTTACTATGTCGGAGATTTTTTACCGGCATCATAATGGTCACGCGTTACAATCAGGCTCAAAATGATTTTGACCCTCATTACGACCTCATTACGACGCCTTAAGCGGAGTTTGAATATCATGCTGATGCAATTCTGATTCGGATTACTGATATGACTTATACCTAGGCGAGGCGACACATGCTGCATCAACAGTTCTGACTCTGTATGCCTCTTTTTCGATTCCGACACTGTACGCCTCTTTTCCAGTCTCATTTGTCTTCTTTATTCTCAACTGAACTGAGCCCTGGACCGTCTTGTCACTTTGATTTATAATCTTATTCTCTCGCATACCATCGATAACAACAACTTTTGTTCACTCCCATCGTCTATCCGAAGTCTACAGTCAGTCCAAACGTCTTCCCTATCCAAAACTCGTCGTTCTTCTGCTCAACAATTCTTCCAAGCATATCCAATTTGTTTAAATGAAACATATCATCTCCTCAATCATTGTCTGTATTCCTGACGGGCTTTGACACTTGGTCCTCGGTATGCACTCCGTTACTCGCAGCTTTACGCTCTCACTCTAATATTATATGATCACTATCAGCTTGCTCGTTGCTCGTTTGCTACTTGACATCAATGCCTAAGTCAAAACAACGAGCATCAGACCTTGTGACATGTGATCAATGTGGAGTGAATGTGCGTGCACGTGGGTTAGGATCCCATTCGAGGTCTTGCGCGAAGAAGGAACGGGAACGGCAGGAAGATGAGGAGTTTGTTAGCATAGTTCAGAAAGCCGAAAAGAAAGGTGAGCACTCGAATCAGTTGTCTTTCAATGATGTACTCGATAGATGGTTGATAATTTTTTTTACAGAACTTCGAAGGCAGCGTCGCAAAATTCGTAATAATTTACAACATTTGGAGGATGCGCAATCATCTGCAGGTGAGCACTCATATTTTAACAATAGTACTATGGTTTAGAATTTTCTTCTCGCAACACAGTGAATGCCACCGCGATATGGGCCGCAGACTCAGACATTGGTATGTTTGATTCAATTTGATTAGTGTTATACTGAGACTAACAGTATCAGTTATGCGAGGGTCTTCACCTCGCCAATACCCTCCGGCGGACCCATTACCTGACTTCCACCAAACCGATCCTGGTCCCAATGAACCAGATCCTGGTCCCAACGAACCGGATCCTGGTCCCAACGAGCCCGATCCTGGTCCCAACGAGTCCAATCCTGATCTCAATCAGCCTGCACACAAGCTTGACGATATCAAAGTCGAGCATCATCCTCACAGCCAAATTCCTTCTACTGTGCATCGCTTCTCTGAGTTCTCTTGCAGCTGCCCAACAGAAGACTATGTACCTCATAACGACTCGCCATGGGAGCCATTCCGCACACGGCTTGATTTCGAAGTAGCAGAGATTGCACTCGAAGCTGCGATGACAAAGGATCAAACCAATCGCCTTATCAATCTCATACATCGATCTGCTAGTGGCAATGACATGTTCACACTGCAAAATCATGATGAAGTCCGCTCCCTCTGGGACCTTGCTTCGCAACGTTATACTAGAGTAAGTGTTGTCTTGTGTAGCTACTACTAGTACATTACCATAAGCTGATCATTAGTGCATAGTTTCAGAACGATGCAGTGTCTGTTCCCCTCGGAAATGAAGTGCGCAAATTCGACATGCACTACCGCCCTCTCTGGGATTGGGTCCTTGACTTGTTGCGAGACAAACGTCTCGCACCTCATTTTGTATTTGATGCTCAATGTCTCTCAAAATTCAACGGAGAAAGATTTGTACGTTTTATTAATGAACCATGGACTGCCGATGCGTTTTGGAAGGCACAAGTATGTTTCGACATTTGATCTATTGTTTGTTTCTTTAAATTAATAGTATGCTACAAAACTGTTGTAATTGTAGTCGCAGCTTCCGCCCGATGCAAAACCACTGGCATTCATCCTCTATGCGGACAAGAGTAAACTATCGTCATTTGGGAGCCAAAAAGGCTATCCAATCATTGCGCGCATCGCTAACCTACCGGTTCATATTCATAACAGTAATACTGCCCTAGGAGGTGGTCGTGTCGTTGGCTGGCTGCCCATTGTTGTAA